CACAGAAATGTGATTCAGAATTACTGATGAACAAAAACCTGTAAATCATGTAAAATAAAATAAAATAAAATAATCATGTAAAACAGACAATGTAAGACGGCAGCTCTGCTGTTGTTTCCACCTCATACGTCTGAGATTCACACATCATCATGGAATAATGACATCCTGGAGACAATAGGAAGTACTACAAAGGCGGTAATTTGGCAGCTAGTCAGGGGTGTGTGTGTGTGTACAGATGTTGTCACCATCATTATTTCACAATTATGTTAAATACAGTCACTAAACTTTACCTACGTATATTTAAAGATTAAAGATATATGAAGTCTGACTTGTGTATTGAGTACTCAAGTAGTAGAGGTAATAATGCAGTAAGGACTACTGCATACTCCTGGGGCGGTACATCAACATATTGAAGCGGACGTCACCAACATTTTCTTTTCAAATGTTTCAAATTTTTACACATTTTGAAATCTGTGTGGGATATTGTTGTTTTAGGTTACTTTACACAGACAAAGATTTCTAATATTTTGATTGCCAATGTATGGAGGAAGGAACAATAAAATAGAATAAGGTAAGAACTCTAGAAACTATGGAATTTAAAGTAAAAATTGCGACTCTGATGCAACTCAAGTGATGTTTATTGTCTAGTGGTTATGGGTGTGTGTGCATAGAGCTGTCAAAAGCCAAAGCTGAGCAGCCAATGAATCTCCACGCTGCTGAGAAATGTCTTAACAAATCAGTCACCCCAGAAAACTGGTTTTGCAGCATGCAATTACTATGCTTGTGAAGCACACTTACGTCATCTCCTTATCCTGCCTCGGGCCTGTGCATCAACTCCTCCACGCTTTGAGCTATGAATGCCTTTCAAGTTCCCTACTTTGCATCCACTTCTGCATGCTTGTGCTTCTGCTTTCCTTCATTATTTTAAATCTCTTCTCACCAAATCATTTTTGTATAGACAATGCAATTTTGTAGAAAACTGAATTTCAGGATAAAAGAAACCGACCACGGACATAAAGAGAATCTGTGAAATCTTTAATTTGATGATGGCTTTTAATCCAGTTACTATCGGACATGTCAGTAGTTTTAAAATGTGTGTTCTGTGTGGTATTTAAGTAGGCGAGAGTCCAACTTACCTAAAATAAACTGAACTTTGTACTTTGTAAACAAGTTTATCTTAGGAAACATTTCCATGTTAGTTAAATTGTCATGAATTTAAAGTTTTACATGAAAGTTAATCAGACCAGCCTCATATTTTCAATGTGAGTATTTATCTAGACCGACATTATACCCTGTCAGTCATATTTTTCATTAATTATAAGTATGTATATAAGTACTTAACAGTAATTTACAGGTTTAGTTCTTAGCCAAAACATTGTAGAAGCAACAATTTCACCTATCTTGTCAATTTCTGTCTTTTTATTTCATTATTAAATGTTTAACAAGCTCCTCGCTGTTTTTATGAGACAAGCTAACAAGACAATTATGTGATGGGAATTCCAACTCCCTGTGAGAGATATTATATAATCTCACACTACATGTCCCATTTGGAAGTATCAATGAGTTGACTGTGAAGGGTAATCAGCCAGTATAAATTATTCATGACACACATGAAGGTCAAGGGCCTCAGGTTAAATGTAGGAGTGCAGCTGAGAGCGATACCCTGGTGATCAGCAACAATAAAAAACAACTGTTTTAACTTTGTGACTGATTTGTGTGTTTTTGATTAGTCAAGCCATTAAAAAAAATTGTGTAGTTCACGTGGTCAAATTTACTTTAATGAAAATAAAATGCTGACGATTTAATCAAGATTATGTTAAAAATCACAAAAACATTATTGACTTTCGAACTAAAATCGCTCTAAATATTTAAACCCAAATTATGCATTAAAACTGCAATACTGCAAACTGAAAAAGTAATTAATGTCCTTAGGCTACGATAGATTTGTTTCATCGCAGCACTTCCTCTGCCTACAAGAGAAATAGGGTTCATTCCTCTGGGGCCAATACAGGAAGTATCACATATAACCCAGCTTCTGGTTCCATCTCATTTCCTGTGAGGCAGGTTGCCCTAACAGCAAGAAAATAACTGTAAACTTTTAAAATCAAACCAAAAATCTTGAATGCAAGTGATTTGTTGAACCGTCTTCCAGCAGGTTAATGAGCCCTGCTCTTGGCAGGGCCACTGCTGTGAGTGGATGAGTTTATAATGGACACTGCATGACTGTCTAATGACCTTCTGACGGGAAAAGGAAAAAGCTGACAGTGGTGTTTTTCATACTCACCGAGAAAACTGCATTTTGAAGCCCAAAGGGAATGGGGGTGAGTCTCGCTAAGGCCACAACTTTGAGTCCACTTCCTCCCTCCACCACTCGTATGACAGCACTGAGCTGTTCACTGTTCCCAACCTTGTTCAGCACCCAGTCGCTCAGTAAGCGCTTGCAGACCAGGTGGGCCACAAAGGTCCCTATTAAAACTCCCACCATGACCAGTCCCACGCCCAGCACAAAGCCGTAGAGGTAGCCAGCTGCCACATTAAGAACAATGTATCCCCATCCGCAAGGCAACGACACAATAATCAAACCAACTATGAAGAGAAAGGCCCCAACGAAGCTGTCCAAGCTCTCCACCCAGAGCAGGAGGTCCTTGAGGTATTGGCGCACAAGTGCGACCGAGGAGAAGCACACGGCGGTCAGGATGCACGCCAGCAAGGCACCCTTGAAGCAGAACGTGGTGATACAGCAGGGGTGTCTGAACTCTCCTCCACCACCGGCGAAGCTCGTCCCCCCCGAGTCACTGGTCACCTCAGGGTCATCGTCCGACTTCCCCACTCCGGCTCCTCTCTCGTCGAAGGCGCTGCAGATCAGGATGTCGATTTTGTCACACTCCTCTGTGGCAGTCCTCTGCAGCCAGCGGTTCAGCTGGATCTGAGCCTTGCCCACCGCATGCTTCACAAGCTTGGTGAGCAGCTGCACGGTCGTGGCCCCTGACACTGACATGTTGGCCCCTCAGATGAGCTCTGGGAGGGGGGGGGACCTGGATGAAGACCTGGAGACAGCTGGGATGTTAAAGGTTTCTGTCAGTCTCTACTAACTTTATGGAGGAGATGGCTTCACTCTGCAACAGTGCAATGAGACACACACGTGAAATCCGTCACTGTCCTTGGCCATCACACGAGGTGTGCACTCTAACCGTGTCTATCTCGGGTACACCCCATGGGCTGCGAGCCGGTCCGACCACTTGGAAGTGCCACTTTTAAAACCTCTGTCTGAGAAACTCGCCATGTTCAGAGTTGTCCCCTCTCCTCTCCTCCCCCCCCTCCCCTTCAGCCCCAGGACAGATGATGGAGGCGGTTGTCAGGACACGAGCTACGAGGACAAACAACTCCAACACGTCTCTGCACTGAGACCAGGAGCAGAACAAACTTTTTCCAGCAGCAGCAGCAGCAGCCACACGAAGCTAACGTCAAGCCACTAGCATGAATTACAGCGAGGCTTAGCTAACTAGCTCTGCGTGTGGATAAACTCCACGGCTGCATATCACGAGCTAAAGCGGACCTGCAGCTCCTCTTCACCCGGACAACAGAGCGGCAGGGTCGGGTGTGGACGACGCACTGTGTCGTATCTCCGGTAGCGGGCTGTCGTGCCTCCTCTCCCCGTGTCTCCTCCGCTGGAAGCCGCTGATCGGGCTCCTCTCCACTGTTTGTGTCCCAGAATGCCAAGTCAATCCAGACCATGTGACAGGCCGCCGCGCCCCCCTCCACCAATCAGAGGGATCCCGGCGGTCATCGCGAGATCTCACCACAGCCCCTGTTTGTTTTGGGTCGATCCTCTGAAACACTCATCAGCCACAGAAACAAGTAACTTTGCAACCACGTGACGCTGTGATCACGACTTCAGCTTCTACCGTTTCACTTTAATTATTCAAAGCAGCCAATGAGAAAGGATCAATTCACAGTGACGTTGTATCCAGTTGCACAGCAGCTAATAATGAGTTCTGTTAATTAGGAGGAGGAAATAGTTCACAAATGATTTTTAGGTCAGCATAATGGTGACAGTAGTGTTCACATTAGATTAGGTGGAGGGCCAGACAAGCACGTTTCTCATTGAAAGTCTGTGTATTATTTTATTGTTGTTCCTTTCTTTCATTATTGTTTTTTTCTTCATATATATTTGATGTTCTCTCATGTTCCAAATCGATAAACAAATCAAATCAAAAGATAAGTATTATATATATATATATACAGTATATATATATAATGTGCTCAAGTATAGATTAGAATCAGAATCTGCTTATTTGTCATGTATGTGCTATATTATTGTAGAATTTATATTACTGGATCATTACAATTGTTGAATTAAAACATAAACAGCATTTTTGTAGATGGTTGAGGTGCAGCTAAAATGTACTTATGTATGCTATAGTTGGGTTGTTTACTGCGTCATAATTTATAGGCTTTCATGTATCAATATCTATTCTCAATTCTCTGATAAGTAAACACTAGAGGTCAAAAGAAATTTTGAAAAAAAAAAAAAAAATTTTTTTAAATCCCTCAAATTTTTTTTTGTTTTAGTGTAAAATATTATTACATGGACACAAGTTAAGTACAAGCATTTTAAATAAAAGGGAAAATATATTATTTATTCAGGTAAGTTTTATTGATCAAACTGTTTTATATAAAGAAAAATGTAGCATACGCCATGAACTAAAAGTAATTGGTAATAACCAATGCATTTTATATTGATCTTCTTGTATACATATCTTCTTGTAGCCTGTTTCTGTGAGCATAATACAGTAACCTGAAGGGAATCTCCTTGCTTTGCATAAATACATTTATAATGAGGGCAGTGAAGCAGACAAACAGTGCATTCATGCAGCTACCACTGCTCAGCCCCTGGCTCGCCCAGCTGTGGGTGAAGGAAGGTGGTAGTCCCCAAACAAACTTTGTGCAGCAACTGTTATGACTGTGTGTCACTGAAAAACCTTCGACCCTATGACCTGGACTGTTGATGATATTGAATCCCTCTCTCCACGCACATTAAAAATGTAGCTGTATGTTGGATAATAGTATTTGACTGCATCCTCGTGGCAATCCACTAGAGGGAACTGTTATACAGGTTTTTACAAAAAGCCAGTCTCTTGTTTTCTTTAATTTTCTGCTCTGCATCCATGTGGAAACATTTAATAGATAGTCACAGTTGTTATCGATATGAATCATTATCAGGGTCGATTCATATCTTTTCAAACTTTTTTAACACAAATCTGGGGCTCACCAACAGAAGCTGCATAATGATTAATTTGTGGTTCTATTTTAACATATTTAAATATTCAATTTAAAAAGCAAAGATATCATTTAATAAGCATAATGCGTATTAAGCTTATTTTCCACATGTTTTCCCATTTCTTGTCAATGAGAATCCTACACATCCAGTCCACCGTGAATTAACTCCCACATAGTTGATTCTAACACTTTTTAAGGGTTTATGTAGCTCCACACTTTCCAGTTTCAAGTGTTTTCCAGAGTTAAATTTACATTCTGAAAATAATAAAACATTTAACTTTATGCCAGAGTTCCTTTTTCAACTCGTGTTAACGTAATACGTAGGGATTAGACAATAACTGTGTGAGTTACATTTTTCTTTACTGTGTAGTTTCACTCCTTAAAGTGTTCAGCTGTCTACACTGAAAAAAAGAATTAATTCCCTTGAATGATCTGGTAATTTGGAAGTGAAATCGAATTGTTCCTGAAATAAAAGGGATTAAATGCGATGACATATTCTGCTGCAAAAAAATCTCAGAGGATTAAAATATCAACTAATGTCATACACACAGCTTTGTCATAACATTTTATGAAAGCCCTGACATTCAAATTCAACTATCGCGAGTTCTCATGAGACCAGTTGCAGAAGTTGTGAATGGGAAGACCACAAGTCTTGGAGGAATGACAGAGGAGATTAAGGCTAAAAACAGGTTGTGAATGATGCCATTTTAAATTGAATTTGAGTCGGTGTGAGACACCACAGGAGCAGTATGGAGGCTTTTTGTCTGTTGTTTTATGTGTTTGATAAATTGGTCACCAGCCTCTCCAATGATAATGGATAATCCCCTGAAACTCCAGAAGTATTTTGTGGACTCAAACACTTCACCCACCCCTCCATCGGCAGAGAGCTGAGTAGATAATGAGTGAATTCTCATCATATGGCTATAAGTCTAGTATTTGTCTGTTACAAATGATCACGAATGACCCAGATTACATCTTGAAGATAAGATAAGATACTTATTACAGCAACAAAAGTTAAAATGAGGTCGACGAGAGAACATGTGAGCCTACTTCCTCCTTTCCTTTGTATTTGAACATTTTTAGGACTAAGATTTAAGGAAATAATAGGACATATTTCAGTGATGGATGCTGGAGTGAGCAGGTTTGGACTCATCACAACATCAACTGACACATGACAAATACAAAACAGAAACAGGATGTAGTTCATATGTCAGGAAGTATGGTAATATATTGTCAAAATAAAAGCACATGAATCTCAGAGATAGTCCAAAGAAGGTGGCAGTGTGAGTGAGCCCAGTGCAGAAATACAGATCTCAGAATAATGAGATCATGTTCAACATTTGAAGGGACAATATTGCGGCCATTTTTCATCATCACATACATGAAGTTAAGGGATAAATGGTGGGACTTTACTTGGGAAGTGGTGTGTGTGTGTGATTGCTGTTGGTTTGACAGCAGCTAGGGGTCGCTGTGTCTGTGTCTGACCGGTGGCAGTGATCAGATAAGAGGCTGAAACACTCACATTCCCCTGCAGTTCACTTCTGGAGCCTCGTCTGTAGTGATGGATTGTTCAGAGGAGGTTCAGTCTGTGTGTGAGGAGCCCTGCGCTCAGATGGAGCTGAAGAAGGGGATGTCTATTTTCATTGATGTGAGTAAAACATGTTTAATAATCCTTACAGGAAAGAAAAATGACTTTAATATTCATTAATGCTGCTTACATTTTGTTTTTGTAGTCATCCATAGCTTATCAAAGCAGGAAAAAATTAAATGTACAACTATTATAAAAGCGTTTTTCTATGTATTTGGAGAAAAAGATGCATTTTTACTTTTCAAATGTGCGTGTCAGTGATTTATTTCTTAGAGGTTTTGTATCACCTCAGTTAATGTGGAACCCTGTTGTGTATGCAGGGTACAGCCCTGTTGTAAGGGATGAATGAATTTGACAAGCCTGACCTTTAATTTAGCCTCTTGTTTTCATAGCCTGGTCATCCATCCATATGTCGTTGTTCAGAAGCAAATACCAAGTCAATGAAATTCTTGACTTTTTTCATTTCTAATGCTAAAACCGATTTCTTTTATTTTTTGTTTTTATTTATGCCATGTATGCATCATTATAGTTTGTGATCTTCTCTCTCTCTCTCTCTCTCTCTTTCTCTCTCTCTCTCTCTCTCTCTCTCTCTCTCCATTTCATGGCACTGCTTTGTTCCTTGGGTATTTGCCACCTAATTATATTAAACCCATATTTATCCGCACTATGTTATTAAATTCAGTGTCTTCACCATGAACGTGTTTGTGGCTCGGGTGGATGCTCACATGGGAGATTTATATGAAAGCAGGAAGTCGTGTATAGATCACATCAAACGCCTCACTGATGTTGACGTATGTGGAACTGACTGACAGGGAGTGAAACCCCCGTCATCTTCACAGACGAGCTGATCGACGGCCTGGATTCTGTTATTTCTTGACTTCTCCCTTTACAAGTTTCTGCACACTGGCTCCAAAAGAGTCATTACTCCTGCCACAGGTTGTGTTTCCATATCTTCATCCTTTTGATGGTGTTTTGGTGCCAGAGTTCCACTTCATTAATGGATTTAATAGAGGGAAAATAAATCCATTCCAATTCTGGGTTTGATTGATTAATTGTACTCATTGGATGTAAAAGATTAAACAAGATGGAATGAGACAATGAGACCAAATCATAGGTTGTTACAGGGTTTGAGACAGTGATGGTGTTATTATTATCTGAATCATCAATGTAACACATTCACGAGCAGGAAGATGTATAGATGAGTAATTGGAGAGCTGGAGAGCTGGAACCAACATTTATTTCCATTGTTGATTAATCTGCAGATCATCAGCGACACAGTGAATAATACTTCACATTATCATCAAGCCTCAGACAATCTCATGAATTAAATCAAGTCCAAACTTAGTAGAGCACATACCTCTGCCAAGACCCAGCGGTCCCCGTATGACACCACAACCACTCAAGAACCAGATTCTTATTAAGATCTGCTCTACACACTCGTAAATATCAGTCCACTAAACATGCCTGAATATTTTGTCCGTCAAGATTCATGAATTCTTCTCAATTCTTAATCAAGGGGGATGTTGAAAAACGGTCCGATCTCACAATGTTAAAGAAAGTTTTTCCTGGATCTACACCGAAATCTTATTGGTTCTTTCCAGACCTGTAACACATCCTTACACCAAGTTTCGAGGTTATCCATTTAGTTGTTGTTTTAAACAAACTAACGAACAAATGTACAGGGGTGACAACATAACCTCCTTGGCGGAGATAACAATAGTCCAGAAAACAAAGATATTTAGATACTATATATTATATTATATCTTTACAGTATAAAGCTGGAAAGATCAAATATTTGGTATTTTTTTACTTTAAATTTGACTTCAATCTCCATGAAAACAGTTGGTGATGAGACTTGTTGATTAACTAAGCTATTGATCGTTACAGTTCTACGACAGAAAATAAAGACATTCGATTTGGGACATAGACGTGACGATTGATTGTTTCCATGTTGCAATTAACAGTGTTTTCGTTCCTCTGCCTTCATTCATTCCTCACACGGCCGCTCCGCACTGTGGCCTCGTACAGATAAATGAAGCTGTGCTGAAATCGACTGACTACTGATGAGAGTTAGATGTGGATAAAAGATAAGTAGAAACAGAGAAGCAGCAGGTCTGTAAGGATGTTGGACAGAAATGAAGTGATTGGCAGAAGAAATTTAGAGAATTATTTAAGTCAGAGCACAGGAGAGACGGCCAAGTACTAGAGAACAGTGGGTGTAGTTTTTAATTTGCTTCTTTATCCTCATGTCGCACCGAGCTAGAGCAAACCTAGGAGGGAACAATTTTGTTTTCACATTCAGTTTTACTTTTTAGATCTGGCGCATAAAGGATTATAGTCAGATTTCGCCTGCAGGGATGATGTGTAAATACACTCAGATTCTGCTTCAGTGCCAACATCACAAGATGAGAAGATGCTATTTTGAGATGGATGGCTCAACCCTTTTCAAGCTGATGTGGTCATTGCCACTCTGACTTTCATCTCGTCTGGACTGTGGGGCAGCGCTATCAATAATTTAATGACCCACTGCTTTTGAGAGTGTGATCGATGATCCCCACTCACACACACTCACAAACACACTTATTTGAACTTTGATGATGTGAAACCTTTGCTGACGATCCTTCTTTCTTCTCCCTCTTGTTACAGATTTTACGGCGAGCTGATAAAAATGGTAAATATCACACAAACACCCTCATGCATCTCTGGCATTAATACTTTGACGTCTGCACTACAGTTTGTGAAAACAGATGTACAAGTTCCTCAATTAAATTTGGATCATGACTCCATGGCAAAACGCTTTCAGTTTCCATGGAAACAGGAATCTGACTATGTCCACAGAGTCCCAGAATCAGTGTGTAAATGAAGATGGACATCAAGAGTTTTATTAGTTACTTTAATCACTGCAGTCCATTCTTAATATATCTGAGGTTTTAGAGCTGAAGGCTCAACACATATTCTGCTGTTGTTTCACCTTCCCTATCTTGTGCTTGTGAAGTGTAAAAATAAATAAAATATTTGTTGATAAGTAGAGACCGCAGGAGTCTGAATTCAAGTTTCTACCCATTCATCCTGGTCCAACCTGTGAACCTGAATACTCAGACGAAGACAGTCTAAAAGGAAATGAAATAACACTGTGGATCTCCAGATTTTTTGGCACACAGGCCTTGCATTTTAATTTATTGAGTCTGATTTATGACATCAAGTCAGAATTAAATAAAATTCCTTCAAATTCCAGTGATAGCATTTTTAATCATTCGCAAATATGTTATACGTTCAATCTCTTAAAGGAATAATTTGACATTTTGGGAAACGTGCTTTTCCAGAGTAAGATCTTAAGAAGAATAGATGGATCAGGATGACAGCTGGATGGTTAAAGTAGAAGCGTATATGTTCTGTCAGGTGTTCATGAGACAGACGAGTAGAAGACGTGTCTAAAGAACCCCCTGTGCAGAGATGCTGTCAGAGCTGCTAATGGTTTTGTGCAGAACCAGGTTTGCCGTCTCTCCCTGTTAAAGTCCTTGTGCTAAGCAAAGCTTACCAGTTGCGAGCTGTAGCTTAATATTTACCACATGAACTCAAAATACTTGGAGAAAAAGATTTATTTGTATTTTATTTTATTAAATATATGATGAAAACTGGAATCCTAAATGGGAACTAGTCATTTTCACTGCATCCACTGCACAGCTGTGGTTTTAGATCCTGTATGAAAATACATGTCGTCTATTTCTCCTGCTGAGACAAATTTAATTTCACACATTTAAATGTTTTTTGGATCAGGAACAGGGATTAGGTTTAAACTGGCATGTTAACAGACATCATTATGTCACACAGCTGTCCTCCCACCAGCAGCCCTCATTTTGAACATATTTAATATAAATGACCAAAAATAGCCAATTCAGAATTCATTATTCACGTGACATGACATGCTTCATAATTCAAATGTCTCACGCCGTGAGTGATTTCAGTTCTCATCATGCAGGAAAATAAACAACCATCACACGTCTTTGTTTTTTAGTGTTTTGCAAACAGCAACATTTATATGTCAGGTTTGTTCCCAGATTATTCCTGAGCTCACTGTGAGTCACCGTGTGCTCCATTTACGTGTGTGTATGTGTGTGTGTGTGAGCGCCTTTGTACATCCTTCAAAAGGGGCTCATGCTCACATCATCAACTGTGACATGACATTCATACTGAGCACCACCTCCAGAGCAGGTCAACGGTGAAAATTTAAAGATCACCACCTCACATCACACAGGGAAACACACTCGTGGAGCCTGGAGGCGCACTGAAATTCCCTAATGACATGTTATTGTACCAGTTTGTCCGTGCTACGGACTTCCAGTCCTGTCATTTCTGTTTTCTGTGATACAAATAAGCAACATTATAGAAACTGGTCACTTGGCCTCGCCGTCTGCTGCAGTCCTGACACCTTGTTGACATGCTGCATTTGTGCTCTGTCCCCAGACGATGGGAAGCTTTCCTTTGATGAATTCAAGGCCTACTTCTCTGATGGAGTCCTGACAGCTGACGAACTGCAGGAGCTCTTCCACACGATCGATACCCATAATACAGAGTAAGTCAGTTAATGTGTTCTCTTGGGATAAGCGTGAAGGAGGAGAGGTCAACCATGTGGATGAAATGGAACTGCAGAGGCCATTCCTTGCTATTCGGCAATATTATAAATATGCTTTAGTGTCTCTTACATAAACAGTGAAACATTGTTTGACGGATGGAAATATCAGGTCAACACTGTGACAGCTGAATTTGTCTCCAACCAAAAAGGATTTGTCAAATATAATAATTTACTTAGATTTTGCCGCAGCTCAGTTTTTGTCTGCCATGAAAAAAGTCTTGACATGTTTTCAAGCCAAACTGGAAACACTCCCCAGGCTTAAGTTTTATAAGAAATCTTGTTTATGCTTGTTTTTTTTTAATCATTGTTTTCTAGAGAATATAATGTGAAAAATCACAAACATCCCAAAAGTGACTCTTGACTTAAAAATAAAATATTTAAAGGAAACTTTGCCACACGCTCTGAGGAGACTTTTCTATTTATTCATAAGCTCAGTATGACGGTGATATGAAGATGTGAAGTGAAGCATTGTGGGCAGTGGACTGTGTGTCTGTCCCTCTGCAGGACACAGGAGACTCATGTCAAATAAATGTCTCCGTTCAGCTGTCAACCTGTCGCACATTTTTAGATCTTACATGTAAGAATTTCAGACAGGCTGATATTACAACACTGCAGTACTATATTATTATTATCATTATTATTATTACTGCTGGGTATATCATCAGCTCCCATCCTCCTTATTCAGTCCTCTGTTATCAAACATTTTGTTGAACATATCACGACAATTTACTTTCATGAAATTGTGAATTTCCTCTCCAGGGGATCAATCAACATACATCTTATCCTATGTGTCTGTATTTACTTTTTTAATTCTTCGTCCAATTGTAAAGCACAATGTCATTGAAATAGATATAATATAATATATTAATGAACCCCACAATTTAATATTTTATTAAGTGGTTGTGGTTGATGTATATTATATTTACCTCAGCAAGTATAATGTTTTATTAATAAGCACTTTATTAATTATAGAGTACATCACTTTCATTTCCACGTCCCTATTCTTCTGATCAAGAGGCTCAGAAGAGGAAATTCTAATTCCCACCATCAGCACTTTGCATCAGATCTGACTTGAATCCAAGGTCTTATTAAATCAGTTACTGTGTGTGAATATTGATCGCGCCCTTTGTGTGGCCTTGTTATGTAGTCAGTCTTCAAGACTGCAGTTGAATCCTGTTCACAGCCACACAGAGGAGGCAGGGAGAGCAGGTCATTTCAGCAAAGCCAACAACATTTAGAAGAATGACAGAGGAGGGTTGAACATTTGCAGCTACGATATGTTAGCGCTATTTCTATTATATGGCGGGGGAAGATGAGAATTCTGTCATTAATTGTGCAGAGGTGTTTGAAACTTGAATAATTATTCAACACAACCTGAGAATCTCGTTCTACAGTTTCTCAATCAAAGTGTCAAACTCTGGGTGTGTTCAATTCCCCTCTGCATCACTGTCAGTAGTAACAGGCACAACACACAAAGTCTTTCAGTGAGCAGTTATATCTTCATGTGAGTCAGGAGATGACCAAAGTCATTAGTATTCATGTTGTCATGACCATTAGGTTTTAAAGAGAGATATGTGATTCTGGATCAAAGCCTTGCTAATGTGTTTATACTGTTTTTACATGCATGAATGAACCACAGTCAGTTTTTAGACTTTATTTAACTTTTCAGGCCAAAGACAGTAGTAGTACAATATGTGTAGTAGCTACTGTTTAGTGTAGTGTGCAAGCATCTCTGACCCATGTTTGGTCCATTGGTAAATAATTTATCTTAAGATGTCAAAACATGCAAGTTTCTTTCAACACAAAAGTCAGAGTTTCATAATCTCAGTATAATATCTAACCTGTGCTTTACCTCCTCTGTTCTGGGCTCTCATCGTGTGGCTCTAAGTGTTTTCTCCTGTTTGGACCAATTGATCCCTGCAGCACTTTACCCTCTTGTGAATGACAGCTGCAGCTTGTGTGGAATAGAGTTAAAGCCAGTGTAATTCAGCACTGTTACACACACACACACACACACACACACACACACACACACACACACACACACTCAGACCTCCTCCCTGAAGCACACCCATGCACAGACATTCATCACAAACAGCAAAAAGTTCTCAGGGGTTTCTGTTGAAGAATTCAGTGTCTGGCCTCTGGCTCACACCTCTGAGGGCAGAAAATAGAATTTAACTTCTTATGACATATTTTTACTTGCCCCCATTCGTCATAACTCACTCATTTACCAAATCACAGTCTACAGAGAAAATTGCAGATAAGAAAGATTAGTCTGTCGCTTCCGTTAACCTTGGAAACATTTGTTTTTAACTCTATCAAAGAGGGGATGTTTCATTGGCGTTACACAAAAACTTCAGGAAGGATTATTTAATGAAACTTGGTGGAAGGATGAGGTATAGGTCAGGGAAGTACTGCATATATTTTGGTGTGGATCTGAATGAGGAGACGGATCCAGGACTTTCTCCCCCACTTTATTTAATATGTTTTTTTGACATTTTCCTTGATTTTGCTGTGAATAATTCATGGATCTTGATGAAAAAAAATCAAAATCCAGATCCAAATTTACATGTGGTTTTACAGTGTCACTGAGACAGAGTGCCATTCTAGTTTAATAAATCTTGTTTTATCTAATAATCTCGCATAATTTGTCTTTCAGCAACGTGGACACTGATGAACTCTGTGGTAAGTTTACACTTTATCTGAATAAACTCTGAATTTCATGAATAAGAGGCTTTTCTGTTCTGCTTGATTTATGTTGCTTTACCTTGCAGTCAGCAGCACCGTAGACTCAAATGCTATTTGACACTTTGCCAGCATAAGGAAAGAACCATGTTAGATGCGGTCACATGCTCTATGACCAAACCCCTGCAGGCTGTGTCACTGAGGTGTCACACAAATGCTGCTTCACCACAACACCTAAAGCCCTGTCCGACTTCTTTAACTCACAAAATGTTTCTGTCTTTTTTCGTCCTGCTGTTGTGAAGAGTATTTCTCCCAGCACCTCTGTGAATATGAGAATGTCCTTGCCGCCTTAGAAGACTTGAATAAATCCATACTAAAGGCCATGGACAAAACCAAGAAGGTAAGATCTGAATAAGAATCTGATGAACCAACACCATTACTCTAATGAAGCTGCATATTGTGTCTCTAATGTTATGTAATGGCATGGAGATGATTGTGTCTAAAGTGTTATAGAATGAAACAATACTAAAATATATTCATATTCCTTTACATCCCTGTACAACACTGATAACACACACACACACACCTCCACACAGAAAACATCACACTGACATCTCATGTCGCGCACATAATGAGAATTTGAAGGGATGTTTGATTTACTCGCTGTGTGGCATGAGCTTCGCGCAAAACTCTCCCAGCATGCTCCTGTGATGCCCAGCTGGCTTCCTCACATCTCCCATTAGTCACATTTCCATTACAGAGCGAACAAGGACGAGCCGAGACTCATTCATGCACTAATTAACCACCGGAACAAAACGTGTTATGATTCTTTCTGCATTGAAGCCAACGTAGACAAGGAAGCAAATGGGTTACTGAAGAAATGCACTGTGATCATTTGTGAAACTGCATTTTATCCTCTTGATCTTAGTGTAACGCTGTGACATTATCAGAGAGGAGATAGAGGAGGTAAACGATGAGGACAAGAAGCGGCTCACTCCATCTGCAGGGAGAGCCTCTTTTTCTTTCTACCACTCACTCTCTGCAGTGTTTCATGTGACACATGACACACGCTGTGAAGATCTGCCCTGCTCTCGTCTCATCGGGGCTCCGTTTGGGAGTCAATCCACTCATTTGTCAGAGGTCGATTTTCATTAGCAAAGAAACAAGGTGACACATGTACACATCTAACTTCTGCAGTAACTAGAATGGCACGCAGTGGAGCACATACAGTACCTCTGCCAAGGCCCAACAGTATCAATTCAATCAAGCTAAACCACATTTCACACACTTTTCTCTAATTGTGTTTTTCCTGCAGCTCAACAAGTGCCAAGTTGTGATGAGGTGCGACAATCAAATTAGGCCTCAAATCATTTTGTGTTTTCCAGGAGAATATTTAAGAACGGGAAGTAAGACAGAAAAACAGCACTGGACCATTATATTTCTCCCATTAACACTCCTGATGTTGTTTCCTCACAGACACACAACCACAAAATGGATATTTGAGCTCAAATGAAAAGAAATCATTCTGCACAAATTGAACAGAAGTGATGAGTTATAGACCAAAGCAACAAATTTCAAATCACATCACTACACCAGACTGTGTAGAGACAGGATTTCACACCGCTGATGTCTCCTCTGGAGCCTTTTTAAAGTGCTTACTCCTTGAAGCCTCACTCTTAGTTTCCTCCTCTGCGGAGCGAGTGTGAAGCCATAAAACATTTCTGTGACCCTGAGTCACAGCACGAGAAAAGAAAAGAGGAGAAATGTATAATGTGTTGTATTTCTCTATTGGCTGAGGGAGGAGGAGAACGGCATTAGTCACACACTAAAGCCCAGTTGTCTCTGAATTGTACATGTATTTGAGTGGGTGGTCTGTGGCTGTGGATGTGTGAGAGGGGGCTGGCTGCATGTGTGTGTGTGTGTGTGTGTGTGTGTGTGTGTGTGTGTGTGTGTGTGTGTGCGTTGTTGAGGTGTTTCTTTTTGTTGCATTTGAAAATTATTCTGTTCTGTGTGAAAAACAGCCCTGATATTCTGAATTAACGAGATGAATTAAAAAATATCATACCCCCAAATCCTGTGAGAAGCTCTCACCAGTACTGGAGCTACGGTTGTTGCTGCTAATCAACCCTCTGACAGTGCTGTGTGGTTACAAGCACAGTGTCAACAGAGGTAAGAGACTTAAAGTATCTTTAAATGTCTCAAACCCAAACCAAAATAAAACTGGATTAAACTAAACAGCCCTGTTTTTCTGAATAAACAAGATTATTAAAATATTTTTTATCTCCAGTGAATGCAATATGCTTTCATACCTTCATATTTAACATCCACATATTTCATAGCAGGTCTCAGGTGTTGCTAATGTGCACATAGAGGATATTTACTGAATACAGACAATACTAATAATGCAGAAATGTTTAATTCATCACTAAATTGGGTTTACTACACAAACTAGTACTTACATTCAGATGAGGTATTACTTCAGACTGTGTATTAAGATGGACAATGCGTCTCCACTTCTTCACAAAAATCTGCAGTAGTGATCCACCAATGGCGAATCAGTCTCAGCTGTCAATCGTGTTTCACACTTTTTTTAAAGCATCAACCAACTAATCAAAACCAAACTTAGAGGAAAAGAATAACACTTAATAAGAACAATATCAGATCTACCTGAAATGACAGAAACTATCTTTCCATCTTTCTCACTTCTGGGGACTGTCACATCGTCCATCTTTATATACAGCCCATGGCAAAAACAAATAAGCTCTGTTAAACTAAAAATCTAATTTAGCAAATCCCTGGTTTGAAACTAGTCTAAACTTTCTACGACTCTATCTTAGTGAGGAATTTCTGAGTAGCTGGTGCAACCCAGGTCCCAGTTCTGCCAAATCCCTGACTGTTGGTTTGTGATAAAGAATTTCACATTTTCTCACAGTTGAGATAATTGACATTGGATGGTTTGTGTTCAGGATTTAAAAAATATTGAGCTGATATCATTTGGCAGAGGTAATGTGATTTTAATCTTAACTACAGGGCTCATATAGTGGGATCTGGGCATCAGTGTGGGTCAGAGGCTGAATTCAAGGCTCCGTCTCCAACAAACCATTAATTTGACATTTTGTACGACTGAAAATGAAACATGAGGGGAAAAAAACTAAAGAATCAGGCAGACCATAAGCTGTTTTATTGGACACACACACACACACACACAGGTGTAGATCACAGGAGGTAATCTATGCTCACATGGGAGACAGGAGACTGACCTTTACCAGTTTTGTTGTGACTCACTCTCGCTGGGTGAATGTGTGTGCTCTTGTACAGATATCTTTGTGAGGACCAGTTAGAGCCTACAACCTACAGAGTGAGGACATGTGTGTGTGTGTGTGTGTGTGTGTCCGTGCTACACTTCAACAACTATTAAACATGGAGCTTTTAAAATCGAACATCGTCCTTTAAAAAATGCTGCAATTAACAAAACACCAATGCTGCAATTACCAAGAGACCAAAACAGTCAAACACATTCATTTTATTTGCCTCAGTCTCTCAATCTCCCTCTTTTTCCCTTTCTTTCTGTGTCTCACACATTTCGGTTCATTCATCAGACATTCTCTTATCTAACTTGTATTTGTGTTTCCCTTTAGAAATCTATTGTTAATTGAGCGCACAAACACGGGTATACAAACAGTAAACTGTGTTGTGCCGAGCATCATTCACTGCGCTCTGATTTAATCTAAAACAACACTCAGCCTCCTGCTCTGGTCCAGGCACAGCAAATGTTGCCTCCTCAGAAAGTCAGTCAGTCTGGTTTACTCATAACGTATTGTTTGCTTTGGAGGAAATTATTTCTTAGATTTTGATTGAAGGTGCAGCTGATTGTTTCACATATTTGCTTTTATTTTTAAAATACTTTTCAACATAATATAATGTTTCTGTCACAGAAAGTAAATAAACACCTGAGTTTGTTCATTAAATCTGCACTCAGCAATATTTTTATATTAGGATTAAATGATTAGATGATATCTGTAGTGAATTATCAACATCTGAATTTTAGCATCTTTCAGCACATTATTTTGGTTCGTTATTGCAACTATGATTCTAAATCCACGATTGCATAGACCCACAATCCCAAACTCTTATAATCTTAAATGAACACAGGCGTCATTTAATTAGCAGGGGGTGTCTGGACATTGAGTGATGCTTGGCTGGCAACATGTCACAGCTCTTGTTCTACCCTGTCGTCATTCTTCCTACTCTTATTCTCCTCCTCCTCCTCCTCTTCATCTTGACTGACAGGACTATCAGGAGTCCACCCACCTGGAGCAGTTTGTGACCCGCTTCCTGCTGAAGGAGACGACCAATCAGCTTCATTCGCTTCAAAGCTCGCTCGAGTGCGCTATGGAAACCACAGCTGAGCAGACTCGCCAGGAGAAGTGAGTGCTCTCAGGTCCCTCACAAACACACACACACACAAAATCAGCCTTTAAAACATAAACAAAATCTGTTGTACGGTGGCAACTATAATTACAGTGCCAGGCAACAAGATGGTTTCCTTCCATTTTAATTTATAAGACCACCTGCTCCTCCTTGTCTGCAGATGTCCATAATCCTTTCTTTATTCCATCACTGTGCACGTCCCCTCCCTGTTGGGAAATATAGGCAAATTGAGGACACAAATTAAAAAGCTATTTTCAAGACGTGAGAGAAATGAAATATGAAGAGAGTGGCATAACACACCTGACAACATGGAAGATGCTGCTGCTCAAGTCAAAACAGAATCAAGGCATTGATTGATATTTCAGTCTCTTAATCTGATTATACCTTCTACAAATGTGTCTAATTCAACTTGGCTATACTAAGATTGATGATTAAAGTCTTTGCATGACAGTTCAATGAATAGAATACATGACTTTGTGTGGTTGAAATAATCCTCTTGTTTAACTGACAATGAAATAATGAATTCTGACCCTGCAGCTTTTCTGTGTGTGAGAGGAGTGGATCATTGGATCATTGATAATTAAACCTGAGGGGATTCTGTGCGTGTGTGTGTGTGTGTGTGTGTGTGTTTGAACGTTTGATCGGTCCGTCTATATGCAGAATTTAGGCGTGCCTCCTCCGGCGTGCTTGGTTTCATTAGTGTTGCTGGCTCACCAGAGTGCACAAGATTACATATACAATTGAGTGTGTGTGTTCCTGGTATATTTAAAGAACAGATGATGACGCACGTCTTTTTGCGTCCCCTCTCGTCACCTGTTGGCTTGATTTCTCACTTTAGCTGCAGCTTCAACAGCTTCACAGTGATTTATTTCAGACTTCTGAACCCAACATTCTCGAGAAACAGCAGATTTATCATTGTATTTGCTCATTAGATCAGGAGGCCCCAAACCTTTCCTGCCCCAGCCCCCGTGCCAGAGAAATGTTAGATATGTTTCCTGCGATGCTGTAAACTAACCTGCTGTCATCATCACCTCAGGAGTCACATGGAGACGAGCAAAATCAGAGGGCCGATGATTAGCTGCATGTTTTTATTTTCAATAGAACTATTCATAATTTATTAGCTCATATATTTTGATTAAAATATGATGTAAACAATTGTTCTTACATTTTTATTTGATTTGATTTCTGGGAATCATCTTGCAACCCTCATTGTGTCACACGACAGTTTGGGAACCATCATGTTAGATTGTAAAAAATACAGTTCAATTTCCAGCACAAGTTACTAATGCTGCCCTATTTGCTTTCTGGCATCTCTAATGGAAAAAATCCATTAAGCTACTAAAAATTCAACATTATCACCTCTCGCTAAACGAGTGTGTGCTTCAATAGCTCTGGTCTAATGGTGAAACAGTGTCTGAGATAGAAGTGAAGTGACTGTAAAGATTTACCATTGACCATAGGCACCATAGCAGGGATTCACAGTTCATTATTTTCTCATTAGAACAATATGAAACGATCACAGAAACAATGTTATTTCAGTAAATGTCATAAATTGCAAGCTAATGAGCCATTAGCCCTTTTGGCTTGTATGAACTAGTTTTTTACAGAACAGAATGCAGCTTGGACGAGCGTCAAACCGAACGTTCCACTGAACCACACTCAGGTCAGACTGTATGAACAGTGATGTACTCAATTGCAGTGTGATGCAACTAGCTTCAGGAAATGAATGAACTAACTTTATGAATCTGTGAACCAAACTGAACAGATTCACATCGGATTCATCAAATTAACCAAGTGTGCAGAGGTTAGAAATATTTTAACTGAGCTACTATTAAGAATAGTTTGTGTTGGTGACATGATTTTGCATTTAAACAGAGGTAGGTTTTTTTGTTCTCTCTATAATTTTATTTTTAGATTGCTTATATATACATTATGTATACATATACTGCCATTATTAGCAATACCTCTATTATTACAATTGCCATTACTGCTCCCTTCGTCTCTGTATTTTGTATAAATACTTATGCATTCCTTCAATACTTTTGATACCCCTGTCCATGTATGTTATACTGTCTTTTCTCATGAACGTTATGAATAACATTTTGGTAGTTTTTCCTCTAGACGAGGGTCAAGGGCAGAGGATGTCGCACGTTGTTAAGCCCTATACAAATTGTGATTTGTGAATATGGCCTGTACACATAACATTTGATTGATAAATGTATTGATTTTGAGTGCAACATCCATTGCACTGTTAGTCCTTGGATGCTTCACTCAAAAGGGTCAAAAAGCTCTTGGCTACGTAGATTCTGTTAACAATTTGTGAAGGAGGAAGAAATGTATCACATTTTGAGACACCGCTCATGTTTATTTTCATAGGGGAAAACTATGGTCTTGAATAACTGACATTTGAGTCAGAGCGACCTTCACAAACTCCATTCCCTCCCTCTTCTCACCTCCCCTCAATGTCTCTTCCTCTCTGTTTCCCTCTCATGTTATTTCAAAGTGTTACTGCCCCTCGCTCCCAGAGCTGCTGCTTCCTCTCCTCCATCCATCCATCTCTCAACTGCCACACTTGAGAAAGTCCCCTGTGCTGCTGACTGCATTCACACTGCACTCTTTCAAACATCTAGAGGCTCTGGCCTGTTTCTCTAGTGGCTTTAAATAGGCTTCTCTGGTCAGGTATATGCTGCATGTGTGAAGAGACTGTGAACAAACCACAGATCTTATCCATGGATGCTTGGCATGACTCAGGCATATGTATATTCTCTGAGATTTTCCTCCTCCTCAGTCACCTCCAGTCTCCTGCTCGAGTTCATTCATCAGATCCTCAATTTTATCCACATCCCATCAACCACCACAACACCAGACACTATCTATGTTACTTATACCACACACGGGTCTAAGCACCAAGTTAATAAACTACAGTAAATTCCCTTTACCCAAAAAGTGTAAATATGAACCAGCTAAGATTGTACGTAAGTAGTACAAAGATACTAAAGTCAAGTCTGAGTGTAATAATTTTGGATGAAAGCCTTTTATGAAGATCAAACATTGGCACACATTTAAAAATTCATGCATGTGAATTCACCTGCAGACACACACAGCGTATCCCCCCAGTCCCCCCGAGGTCTTGTCAGATGTGGGGCCGAAGTACTTGACAGCAGTAAGATAAATCTCAGGTGATGTCACCCTGCGGCTGCACGTACCTCGTCACTGCCATTAGCATCACTGTCAGACCTACATGATGAACAAATATACTGAAAACCAAAGAACAATTTTAAGACTTTCTAAATGTATTCTTAGTCGTGGGACTGTGGGCTTCAGTCACCTGGGAGCCAGCTTAAATAGTGGATAGAAAAAAATATGAGTCGGAAATATTGTCAAGCTCTGAAATATCTTGGTGAAAATCTAAAGTGGAGACAGAATATGGGAATGAAATGCAGTAAATTATCCAATATGCCAGAGGTTGAACTGGGAATTCAAAATATTATATAATGTATTATATGATATATACGTATAAATATACACACACTTATACTTGGTATAATTACACTGGAATCACAGAGTCACAATCTGTTTATGTTTTCAGCATCAGCAGAGACTTGAGTAAGGTTTTTTTCATAGCGGGGCCCATCTGTTTTGTGATGAGCAGTGAACGAGAAAAAGTGCACAGCAAAAGGTCATTTGATGTGAGTTTTACTTCACAGATGGTTTTAATAGTCACGCACTGTGTGTGTTCACAGTCACAACCTTTTAAAGAAGAAACATGCTAGGCTATTGTGATGTCAGGGTATTTATTGTCCTGTTGTGACCCCAGACAAGGTCCGCTGAAGCCAGAGGTGTTGTCCATCCAGTGGTCAGGTCGTCGTTCCAACCGGAGGCTCCAGAGGAACAGCAGCCTGTCGCCCAACAACCCGCTTCTTAGTCTCGTCAACTCAAGTGAGTTGATATGTTCGTTGGTTGTGTTTTAATGTGTTCAACGCACCCTGTCATTTGATGCATCCTGCGCTTCCGTCTATACGTCTTCTTGCTGCTTGGCCAAAGTCGGTGTTTCACAGGTCAGGGAGGGGAGAGATGTGGAGGGTGGTGGTCTTCTTGTGCCCCTGTGTTTCAAAGTGTAGATTTCAGAGAGATTTCATCTGAAAGATTTATCACAGACGTCATACAGCGATGTGACACAGCCTTGTGGGCGTCTTTTTCTCTTCCAGCGTAGGTTTCCTCCCACAGTCCAAAGACATGCCGCTCAGGTTAACTGAAGACTCTCAATTGTTCATTGATGTGAATGTGAGCGTGACTGGTTGTTTGTCTCTATATGAACAACGATGTTATGAACTGACAACCTATCATGGGTGTACACCTCTTCTCGTCAAATGTCAGCCCCCCGCAATCCTCAGTGGATGAGTGGTATAGCTGACTGACAGATGGATTTTTCAAGCCTTCTCCCCATCAGGCGCAGTCCATTTTCCAGCAGTTTAACTTGCTCTTTTACGGACCAATTTTCCTCCATGAGAGACTTACTGTCAGTGATTGCAGAGTGTAGGGCTGTGTGAGGCCCTGTACAGTGAACTGCAGCTGGCCTATAGTGCTTTGGCCTGTAAAGGGCATCACTGAACAGCATTTTCCCCAAATCCTGAAAAAGAGACACATAAGCTGCTTTCAGACCTGCACTGAACCCCAGATCATTTTGTGGAGGGGCCGTTTGTGAGGATGCTAATGTATGAGTGAGGAGGGAGGGGGAGTTTGTCTTGTCAGCCAGGAGGTTTCTGTGTTGTTGAACGAGTCTACTTCTGTGTCTTGTCATGTCCTGACCCAACCGTTTGGACATCATCCTCCAGAGTTCATGTCTGAAAACAGCTGTAGATGTTTCACGCTTCTTCCGCTCTTGAGATCAGTTATGAAACTGTATGGATTGTCTGGTGCAAATGAGGCAGGTCCTGCATTTAAGGGAGGGGCGAGCAGAGCTTGTTCAAACACACCACTGGTTTGCTCTCTCTCATGTCTCACTCCTCCATTATGGCTCCAGCTGTGGTTGCTAGGAGATCTTTGCAAACACTGCAGAGCCTCTATAAACTTCGATTACAGGCCTCAAAGCTTTTCCATTGATTCGGCGTGTTCCTGCGTTGCGTAACATAAAAGGAAAGCTTGAAATGCCTTCTGGGACATGTCTTCTATTTAAGTAGTGTCAAACAATCAATGGAGGATATGTGCTTAAAAAACAGTGGATGTATGCAGCAGCTTTCATCCCTGCACCTTTGTTGTTTACTGTGAAACTCCTCCAGGCGTTTATGATGAAGACAGCCAGTGGATGATCCAGGTCAACAGACTGCAGAAGCTGATCGACCGCCTTGAACAAAAGGTAGCTTCCTTTCTATGAACATTTCCCTTATCTCCTCGTACCTGCTTTTTCCCCTCCAGCCTTACCCAGTTCTTATTTCCCGTCTATCTCTCCTCTCATCATCACGACCATCTGGTCTTTACACCGCTTTCTCAAATTAATCACAAATTATGCCAAGTGGATTCAAAACAGTATCAGCTAATTTACTCAACAACACCTTCCCACACACAAACACAGACACATATGTACGAGGAATATGTGGGAAGGCACACAGCTGATATGTGTGTGTGTATATAT